ATTTCCACCATCACCACTACCATCGCCCGGTTATGTTCCAAACAGTTTACGCATTCCCGAGTGATAAGGGGGAGGGGAGTGCGAAGCGCTGGATATTTCTGCTTACGATTATACCGCGTGTTCCGCGATGTTCGATAGTCGGCGTTTTCATAATACCCTGCTACCTGAGGTACTTGGAACACAGAATATTTGCGTGAGGAAATTCCGACGCAAGATTTTCCGTGAAACAAAAATAATAATTGCGGGTGTAGGGGAGACCGGGGCTCGTTGGCACAAGAGGCAAGTTTGCAATGCGTTCCGTTTATGTATTTATAGCGAAAAAAACAATGGAAAAGTTATCACAAAATATCTCTTATATGACATAGGTACTTTTCCCAAAGTTTTATTTTAATCAAACAAGTATTACAATAAAAAAAGAGAAAATTCTGATTCAAGAGGTGGCAAGTAAATTTTCGAGCGTTTCAAAATATCGTATTAATGTTCTTCAGCTTGAGAAGTAAATCAAAGTGACGTATCATTAGTTAAAAGAAACGTTTCTGTTACTATACGACATGTTATTTTGAGGAACAACAGTAATTTATTGTAATAAAATGACTGAAATCAAACGTATATAGGGATGGGGTGTGTTGGCTCATATCAAGGCTTAGCTTGACTTGTTGTTGCCGCGCGCGTAAGATCTGTGTATGTGATTCGCTACCTACAATGCTGATAAAAGTTAGATATATATATGTATATTAATATTTTTATGTTGAAGAAAGCTACATCTAAAATAGTTTACAATTGTTTTTCTGCAACAGCATTTTGCTATTCGACCATTAAAAAAGAACTTTAAAAGATACAATCTTTATCAAGAAGTACGTATCTGTTACCCGTTTGGTGTTTCTATTACGTTTTCATTAATTTAACATGGACTTTTGTCGCATAGCCAACTTACCCTACTATCGGGGTAAATTGGCTTTAATGCAGCATGTTCATATTTCACTTATTACAAAGAAACTATACAGTATACAGGCGCGTTCCTGGCATGAAAATGTAGATAAAGGGTCTCTCTATTATATTAGTACTGTTTAATCATGATAATTAGTTGTATAAAAACTTAAATGCCGAAATTGTGAAAACGGTGCCAACGAGCCCCGGTCTCCCCTACGTATGGAATAATTTTACATATTATACAAATATAAGCTTTAGGATACCTATGGAACTATAATATTTATTTAACATCTGTGGAGATTTAGACAACTTAATCTTACATATGCTTAATCTGTATTTTGATATTTATATATTTTTTGCATATTCAAATTTAATAGTAGATATATTTAAATAATGTAAACGAGAGAATTGACGAAGACAGAACTGATTTTCTACAAATTAAGAATTTTAATAATTAACAAATTAAAAATTTCGTGGAAATTTCACGAAAAATGTGTTTCCAATCTACTTAAGAAGTTTATTCGCGAAACATCAAAGGGAAATGGGTAATGAAAATAATTAACGACGATTGAAGTTAACAATGTGGGAAACTACAGTTAAATCCCCGTGCCGTGAAATTTCCTCGCAGACTTTGTCCCGCAATAAAAACAAAAAAAAATAGAAAAGACGAAACGGCTACAAGGGAAATCGTATTTTTCTTTTTCGCTCTATTTTTTGGTTCACGTATGTCTCGCTGGAGGCTGCAACGAAACATACGCGAAAAATGGTGGCGACAGCTGTCGACGTGCGAGTTTCGATGTCGTCGCAAAATTCTGTATCGTAGAACTTGGATATGAAGCACAAGCCTCGCGGCGAAATTATTGCCAGACGAAACTGTGAACCGGACACATTCTGTTATTATTATTCTATTTGGATATTTTATTACAATGGTAATTGTGATAAATATAACCTGATAACGTGTGCGTGGGTGATAAATACAACATATATAATTATGAATAACAAGAAAGATGGTGTTTGTTTTTATGTTTATTCCTGAAGTTTAAATCGCGATTTTTTTTATTTCAATTATTCGTGACTCAGAAATTTTAAAACAATTCCCAAGGAAATTTTAATTTTAAATTAATGACGTAATATGCTCTTGAATTTAACGTTTTTTAACGTACGCACGCAGACTTTTACGGAAACCTCAATTATCGTGGGGATGAAGAAAATACACTAAATGATCTCAGTTTAAAAAACCGCGGAACAGAAAAAAGGGAGTATTATGCATGATATAATTTTTAAATAAAATTGCTCGCACCAAAGAATGACGTGTTGCAGTAGCATGAAACAATAAATAAAAGCCGCCCTCTAGAAACGACCGTTGTACTTGAGGTCAGTGGACGGGTCGGGTAGAAGGAGAAGGGGGGCGACAAGGGAGAGAAGGTGGAACGAGCTTCAAGAGTGCCATAATTTACGCTCCACTCGTTTCTTCTTCGTGTATACCTAACGTGTACGAATGAAGCATAAATTCACTCTCTGCAACTCTGCACCCTCCTCTGCACCCTCCTCTGCATCCTCCTCTCTGCCCCCTGCCGTCCCTTGTACTTGCGATCTACCTTAGAGAAAACTTAACGTTTAGCCACGCGAAAGAACGTAGAATTTTCTGTTTTAAGAATTTTAATTGAGGACAACAGGCGTTCTCTCCGAAACGCAAATAAAATCACGATATTATTCATTTTTTGCATCAGATTTGTTTCGTCAGATGTGTATTCTGAATTTTTGAGGACTATCATAAACATAAAAGTCCTAAAAATATACGCAAGTAAAATGTATCGGAATAAAACTGTGTTTATAATATTTTTAGGAAGAATTTAAATCTTAATATGTTAAAAATTATACTTTAAGAATTTAAATGTACTTCTACAGATGTTCAGATTAATTTCGAGACTCTTACAGACACGTCGTAGCCGTTCGCGCTCCGGGAATCAGTAGAATTCTTGCCAGGCTTTAATGAAACAACAAACGCATTTCGAGCACGGCTCGATTTCTTGAGAGGGTGAGGAGGGGCTGGGAACAAAGAGGGATGATCGCAGCAGGAAGACGCGGCTTATAAAACGACTCTACGGCCTCCCTGCAAGTTCGTTTCTCCAGAGATACAGCACGTTCCTTGTCCGACCAGTCCCTTCCTCTCCTTTGTCATTTACCCCCCTCTTCTTCCGCCTTTTTTTCGTCCTTTAAATTTGTTAGGTAGCGTACAAGCCCGCTATTTATGAGGGATTTGCCCGCGGAGGTGGAACACACAATTTCCACCGATATTATATATACCACTTTCCGCTCCCCGCTTCACTCTGCCACCGCTCGCCTTTCCTGCCACTTTTTTCCCGGATTGTCCCAATTTTTCTGCTCCATAACCTCTAACGAGGGCCGGCCTGAAGAGGAATCGTTTTTCATTAATAACCGCGAGTGGCTCATTTGGTCTTTTTATTATATTGGCGCGATCGCTTCGGAGAGTGAATCTTGCCCATCGAATACAGCCCATCTCTTGTATCGAATACAGAGGAAGAAACGCGTGTGCATGTTTTTTAGTTTTTCTTTACTCGTGTTCTTTGCAAACACCAGTTTGCTCGCGTTGAATCCGCCTTGCTGGTATTACAAAATACTTAAAATTCCTATCTACAGTTGAGGTAACAACTTTCTAATGTTAACCTCTGTGAACCTAGCATCCCCATCATTAAAGAAAAGTTCGGGTATACGGCACAATTAAGTGCTAATTTATTACTTCAGTTCCCGAATTTAGTGCTCCTATATCCATTCACAGGAAATTTATTAAAAGTGAGGACCATATTAGTACCCCCATTCCTGAGAAACATGTATATAGAATATCGTAAACAAAAAGCCGATATTTTACCAGAATTTTTTGCTAATTTTATGTTTTAAAATACTGCAAAGAGATATCGAAAATATTGAATGATTATATAATATAATTAAATGTACCCGATTACCGTAACCGCATAAGAGCAAAATAATAAAAAAAAAAAAATTAATCTAACATATAAGTATAACATATCAATATACAAATCTAACATATGACATATATAACATTGAATTGTTTCTTCAGTCAAATATAAAATACTTTATTTTGGAATTTATTGCTCACGAAACATTTTTAATTTATCAAAAATGACCAAAGAGTAAAGTATATTAAACAAATTAGTTGTTGTGCCAGTTTGTTATTAAAATAATCCTCGAATTGAATGTTCTTATCCTGGTCCCGAATTTATTGCTCACTATTCTCTAAATTTCATAGAGTAGTTTCGGCACTAATATATTAGTAGAGTGATTGCGATAGTCACTCCAAAAGAGAGCATTGTCACTCTAATTTACGGGCACTCATATAAGGTAAGAGTTTTTCACTCAAATTTTTAGAGCGGCTGTTCTACCTTTAGGAGTGATAGGATCTCACTCTAACGCTATAGTGAATCATGCGAGGAATCATGGTTCACTAAAGATCGACTGATAAGTGACTGTAACAGAGTGAAACTTTTCACTCAAAATTGTAGAGTGACATAATTCACTCCTATGGACATTGATGTACTGCACTCGAAAAGAGTGCCCCCCTTCACTCAAATGGAGTGCAATTTCACTCTATCTTTTAGAACGTAATTTTTCTCTTTCTTAGAGTGACGAATAGTGGCGGTAGCCCCTCCCCCGCCTACATGTGTATTGTCTATGCACACATATCAGCAAATTACTTCCTTTAGCACTGACACAAACTTGTCTCAAACTTTTTTGTTTATAACTTTAAAATAAGTAATGACCGACAATTAAGTTATAAGGAAAAGTTACTCAGGATCATGTCCTAGACAACATATGTCAAGGTCGAGGTCATACATAAAGTTGCCCTCTTTCTGTTATATAATTACCTTTACTGTTCCATTATTTAACTTTGCGTTCACTTTAACGTTCTTACATTAATGAAAAATTGATTGTGTATTGATGAATTTATAAATAGACATTATAAATTAATAGATAAATCTATGTATTTTAATTGGAAATAAGATCATAATTAATAGTCGCTACCTTTTCAGGAGCTGCGGCGGCGTCGCGAGTTTATGTCGACGCTTTGTCCCGGTTAGCCCGTCAAGCCCAGCTGGGAACATGGGGCGGTTCGAAGGATGTGGGTAAGTGAGAAACTTTAAATTAACCAATTTCATTCGGTGAACACGAGACAAAACTCATTTCGATTCATTCGACTAAATCGAAGAAATGGATGAGGAGGCAATGAAGGTGAAATAATAATGTGTCAGCGTCTGAAAAACTTCGCGTTTTATCACGAGGTTGAAAAAGCCTCGTAATTTTTAATAATTAAGGAAATAGATAAGAAAATTCATTTCTTTTATCTTTTCAAAGACATCCGAATATTTTCTTAAGAATACGCTTTTCTTTTAAATATTAGTATATAGTATATTTTTTAAATTATTTCCGCTGAACAATTGATCGAGCCATTGATTCTTGAATTTATTCGCAAGACAAACGTATGCAGAAATTCTACTTTTACAGAAAAATTGCAAGTCGATTGGCTATCACATGGCTTTTAACCAATCAACTTGCAACGTTTCTGTAAGAACAGAATTTGCGCATACGTTTTTCTTACGAATAAATTCAAGAATCGAGCCTTAGCTCGAGTTTGTGTTCGATTCATTTCATCGAAACAAGACACAAATAAAGCAGTTCTCATTCTCAAGAGCCGAAGTTTGCATTGCTCTGGAACGAGGTGAGCTAGCTTTTCTGAGGCTTCCAAAGCCAATATAGCGTCTCTAAGCTCGAAAGCCTTCCCCCTCCCTTCTCCACGCCTTTCCGCCTCCAGACGCCGATGAACGAAAGTTGCTAACAAGATCATTGCAGCGTGATAAGTGTACGTATTAAGCTCAGGTCGGCGACTTGCGTGCGGAGCTTACGAGCCTCTTAAAGCAGACTAAGGTGCAGACTTAGGGAAGCTTCCCAAGTGCCAACGACCGAGCAAACTTTTTATTTGTTCGGGGAGAAGAGCGGAATCCGATCAGTCAGGGGGGGATTCTTCACCAGGATTCCACCGTTTCGTCGGATTGATTCTTGGATCTTTCGATTTTGATCATTATTTACTGTGCATCATGATCTTTTCTAAAAAGTGCACGTATGTTATATTAAATATTTGCGTAAAAATTGAATATGCGAAAGTAATAATTATGCTGGAACATATTTTTTTTTTATTGATTTGAAATGCGTGTTGTACACATCAAATCGGTTCTTGACTGGCATAGGGAACGGATTAGTGTTGCAGTTATCCTTTGCGATAACAATTACCAGCGAATATGTAACGACCGTTCCGGCAAAGATAATTTTCGACGAGAACATTTCGACAAGAAAGAGAGAGAGAGAAAGAGAGAGAGAAAGAGAAAGAGAGAGAGAGAGAGAGAGAGAGAGAGAGAGAGACTCGGAAACGGGATATTCAATTTATCGAATTAATAAATTCATCAATCGAGTTATTTGCGATTTTGCGCACTATAACTAAACAACCCCTGTTGTTTCGAGCATAATTAATTAGCGCGTTCTGAATTAGCTATTTTATTTTACAAATAACATCTCGCGACGTAGAGATGTTGTTTATCGCATTCGCGCAGTCTGCAGCAATTTGTTATGTAATTGCTCGAGTGTTTCGTCCGCTGTATTAATTATATTATTTCTCGCATCATCTTCGATCATTTATTCACGTCGTATAAGAATAATTGCCCTATTTTGTTACAGATAATTTCAGGAACTGTTAACAATAATTGAAAACACAAAATATTTGAAAAATATATATTAATATTTGCTGTTGTTATTATAACTTAAATAAACAATATACTTTAAATAATGTGACGCATAACGTGAGATAAAAATATAGATATAAATATCATTGAGTTATCAATAATTATTTCAAATAAGCATTGTGCACAAAATCACATTTACATAAATCCGTTAATAATTAACGTGAAATTTCGTATAACTTTCAATAATTAATTTATACAACACACACATAATCAATGTAATTTTCATGTAATGGTCATTCGATTTGCTCATGAGTATCCGCAGACGTGACAATTCGCCACAGCAAAAATAAAAATCTCGTGAACGTCTAATTCTAATTAACTTTAAATGTCTTCGACCATCTTCGGAAAATTAAGAATGTGTGATTAAACTTTATAATGATTGTGAATAAACTTATAATAAGCATATGTTTCATGAATGTAATCGCGCACCATGCATAATTAAAAAATTTTGTTTAGAATATTTGCTGAAGCAATACAACATCATTTTTTGATACGCGAGTCATATTTAAAATATATTGATCCGGGATAAAACACAATAAACTTACGTTATTCACGTAATAAACCGATATGAAGCATGGTGCCATGGAGAATTAAATACGCCGAAGCGATCGCTGTAAGATTAATAGTCGCGTTTTTCGGCGTCGCGGCGCAGAATCGCGGATTAAAATTCTACGGTGGCGGCGTCGACGCAGCCGACCGTGTAAACGCGCTTTAATAATAATGTAAACGCGCAACGAATGGGAATTAACGCGCGCTCGCATCGTCGTGAAACAAGGGGGAAGGGGAGCGGAGGACAGACGGCCGCTGAAATCCGCCCCGAAACCCTGCCCGCCGCGCGCTCGCTACATATGAGAGAACGGCGAAGGGGTAGCGCACGCATATTGCATAAAATTATCGAGATCCAAATTATATATGTATCGGCATCGCATTTTTTTTTTAAACACGCACCGATTAAATATAATGCGCAATTTTGCGCGGTTCGTTAAATCCGCGAAATTCTCTGAGCATCCTTTGTATCCAACCTAAATATATTTATTTGGGATAGGAAGTGATTCGGTATACTTCTCAAGATTTTTCGATTGTATTTATATAATGATCCTGATCTTCAACGTGAACATGAACGTATTAATAACTATTCAATACCTATTTTTCGTTTCTTTATTTTAAAATTGACTAAAAAGACACGACTAATACTTTATAATTCAGAGTGCGCGAAAGATTATTAACGAAACAGAGATATTTCGATCGATTTGCCACTGACTGGGAGCATATAACTCTGGCTCTAATTCCATGTGTGCAGATATATCCGGCTACTCTTCACACTTATCATCTGCTTTTCGCGCGCTGGTTGTTGAGAGTCGTACTCGCTGCAACTTTAATTCCGCGCCGGAAGTCTTCGCTCCTCTCCAAAAGCGGCAGTAAGGAGTGCTTTGCAAATAACGAGTTGTACAAACATCGTTAAATATTTTCTTACGTTTCTAGAATTATACAATGCACATTTCATAACACATCTCGTGTTTTTTTAAGAAAAATTTATGATATCTCTATTTAGATAAAATAAATCTTTTGATATAATTTGGCAATTATTAACAAATAGAATTAAATTTCATCAAATAGAAATTTTGTCGCACTAAATTTGAACTAAACTACATTTAAGGAAGATTGACAATGATAAGAAATATAAAAATAATTAAAAAAACTTAAAACATTAAAAATCCCACTTTAATGTTTATAGACTTATGTACCTATGTATATTACAATGTTTCCCGAATAGCGGGTTTTTACACTTGAAACCTGAAGTAAGAAATTTAATAAAAAATGTTTGCGCGAGAACTTCACGCATATATTTTCAAATACGTAACGTCAAACTCTCAAAATCTTTATTCGCGCGAAATTTCTGTATTCGCGAAAGATAGCAAGAAGGAGTCGCCGTGGAAACGCATCAGTCTCGATCTTCACGCGATTACGTCTATGGAAATTCGTGCAGGAAGCACGAGCGACACTCGGGGAAATCTGTTTTCACTATCCCCTCCCCTCCGCGTCTTCTCCCTTCCGTCCCCTTTTCTAAACCGCCCTTCCGTTCAGCCGCGAAGGGGAGCCACGAAAATTCGTAGCTCACGATGTTAGTGCGAGGCGAAATGAAAATGCGACAGCGAAATTGCCAATATCGTCAACCTAGATTTTCCTTGCTCCGCCGGCCCCTTTCTCCTCTCTCTCGTTCTCTCTCTCTCGCCTTTTTGACACTGGGACGATCGTGGAAATTCGGTTGATTTTTCCTTTTTATTAGTAAGTTTGCTTTTTACTAGCCACAACAAGGAGAACAGCAATGAGGGTGTAAAATTTTCAGACATAATTAAATTTTAGCGACTGTACTTTATAGTATTTATACGATAACAGTTCAGAAACAAAGATTTGATTTCGGATTTTGAGTTGTATTTATTACTTGTAACTTTTTGAAAGATGATTTTTATTTGTTTGTTATAATGGTATAAAGAAGAAAGGGGCATATAGTGACGTGACGGGGGACAAATAGTGCCAATTTTAATTTCTCCTCTTTTTCGCGTTCGTACCATCACGACCATCAACATAAACAATGTTCTGCATCTAACCATCTTCTGAGAAGGCGATGAAACAGCTAAGCTAAATATAGCTATCAAAGAAGCATAAAATTTTGACGAGGCAAAACCTGGATTTGTTTCTGATGTTTCAAGCTATATTTTCTTGATTTCTAAACACTTAAATGAAATTTAGCGTATTTAGCATCGTACGATGCATTTTTGCTTTATTTTGATCTAATTCTTATACTTGTATATCGACTCAGTTTCTCTCAGTAACGTTTTAAAAAAAAAGTAGCTTCTGGGGCTAGCAGTAATCATTTTTGCAGGGAAAATAATGACAACCTCTCTCTCTTTCTTGTAGTTGTATTTCCTACTAAACATACGATGTTAAGTGAACGTGAAGTGAGATGCACAGTAACAGATGAAGTGCTTTGTTTATAATGTTTGAAATAGGTAATTAAATTTCTGTTTTAAAATTATTACATTATAAGTTAAATTATTATTTTTTCCTATAAGTTACGGCTGTGTCTTGCCATTTTATTTTAAATTGTGTAGATTATTATTATTACAATAGTTAGAAATTATAAAAAAGAAACAAACAAAAAATCCACATATCTATCTAAACTTCTAAAGAAAATTAATTATAATAAGCACTTTGTGCAACCATCTGTAGCTGACCACATACATTCTGTGAATATTATAAAGATAACAAACAACTTGACAAAGAGCCAAAAAGCTTTCTTAATGTTTTTAATTTTTCTAATATTTATCTTG